CCTCACTGTTGTCATTTTAATCACTGGTGAAAAAGTTTTTGTACAGTCAATTCCAGCCTCTTGTGTGTAACCTTTCACTACAACTCGTGCTTTGAACCTCTCAACAGTTCCATCAGCTTTGTGTTTTACTTTATAAACCCATTTGCATCCTATGACCTTCTTGCCACTAGGTAGAGAAACAAGATCCCAAGTATGATTTGTATGCAAAGCTTCAAACTCCTGTGTCATTGCTTGTTGCCATGCAGGATTCATAACAGCTTCTCCATATGAAGAAGGCTCTTCATCATTACTAATATTCCTCACAAGAATTTGACTCTCAAGTGCCAAGACCTCAGGTGATATATGTTGGTGTTTGGAGAAAATTGTATTTAGAGAAATGTTTGGGTTTTGTGAATGTTTAGTCAGATTTTTGGGTAGAATATAATCATGAAGATGTTTTGGTAGCTTATGTTGTCTAGATGGTCTGTTGATAGCTTTGGATATAGGTGAAGTTGCAGGATTGTGCTGAATGGTGGAATGTGAAATTTCAGTTGCATGATTAGGTGAAATGTGAGGTAAAGTGTCATTTGCATCAATTACATTATTGTCAACATGTTGTCCAGTTTGTGTTTCAATATTAGTATGCAGAGTTTCAATGAAGGGAACAGAATCAAGAACAGAAGGAAAAGAAGAAACATCAGACAAAATAGTAAAAGGAAAAATATTTTCTTTAAAAACTACATCCCTTGAGATATGTATTTTTTTAGTGGCTAGACTTAGGACTTTATAACCTTTTGATCCAAAGGGGTAACCTATGAAAATATGGGGTGTTGTCCTGGCTTGAAATTTATCCCTATGAGGTTTTGGAATTGTATGATAACATAGGCAACCAAAAGCTTTCATGTGAGAATATATTGGTTTGGCTTTGTATAGCAACTCATAAGGAGTTTTTCCTTTCACATGAGAATTAGGAAGCCTATTAATGATATATGTGGCACATAACACACATTCACCCCAGTATTTAAGAGGTAATTTTGATTGGAAAAGAAGAGCTCTAGCAGTCTCTAACAAGTATTTGTGTTTCCTTTCCACCACACCATTCTGTTGTGGTGTATAAGGACAGGTTTTTTCATGGATAATTCCCTTTGTTTTGAAGAAGGTGGAAGTTTCTGAATTGACAAACTCTAGTCCATTATCAGTTCTTATGGTCTGAACACATGTGGTGAATTGAGTTTCAATCATTGACAAAAAAGTTTTTATAACTCCCAAGGTGTTACTTTTACATGCTAACAATTGAGTCCATGTACATCTACTGTAATCATCAACAAGAGTGATGAAATACCTACAATTATCATGAGTAATATTATGGTATGGACCCCAAAGATCTATGTGCACAAGTTGAAATATTTTGGTAGAGGTATGAGTGCTATGAGGAAAAGGTATTCTTTCTTGTCTTGCCATGGGGCAGATATTACAAATGAAAGGTTGTTTAGCAGAAAAATTCTCAGGTATTGACTTAATTTCCTTCATCTTCACAAAAGGAACATGTCCAAGTCTATTATGCCACAACACATTTACATCATCATTGGTATGAGTCTTAAAAGAAGCAGAAACACAAGGACTTTTATTGAATGGAACAGAATGTTGATTACATTTATTATGTGTGCATGAAGAAATAGAACAAGAAACAGATTTGAAACTGGAAACATCTCGACTTGAAATTGAGACTGAAGAGCTACATGAATCACCAGAATGATTGGATTTCATCAAGCATTTAGAACACAAAAAGTATAGCCCATCTTTTGCTTCACCAATTACCAGAGGCCTCTTTATTGAAGGGGCCTGCAAAATACATGAGAATTCAGATAAAAATACAATGCTCTTAGGCATAGACTTTGAGAGACAATTAATAGAGATAAGATTGTATTTAAAGGAAGGCACATACAAGACTTCATGTAGAATAATGTTTGATGCAAGTATCACACTACCTATTTTTACTACTTTCACTTTGTAACCATTTGGTAGGGTAATCAATAAAGGACAGGGAAGGTATGCAATATTTGTTAAGAAGGTTATGTTGGAAGTCATATGGTTAGAGGCCCCTGAGTCAAGTATCCAAGAGTCAATTTTATTGTGAGGACACCTGCATGATAATTTGCCAAAATCAACTGAAGAAGTACATGCTATCATACCTGCAAAGGCAGAATTCACAACACCACCTGAAAAATCATTGTGTTGTTGAGTATTGTCTTTCCCAGCTTGAAATTGTTGTAACATCTCCATGAACTGAACATACTGTTCTTTTGTCAGCTGATGACTTGCATCATCATGATTTCCTTTGTGATTTTCTTCTCCTGAGCAATTTTCACCCTGAGTATCAACCATAAGACCTTTGCCTTTGTTCATTCTAGAAGGATTCTGATTGCTCATCTGTGGATAACCATGCAACTTATAACATCTATCTCTAGTGTGCCCTGGTCTTTTGCAATAATCACATATCATTCGAGGCCTGTTGCTACCATTGTAAGAACTGGTCTGGGAGTAATTTGTTCTGAAATTGGAGTTATCTGTGGAAGGGTAATTTGGCTTCATGGACCTAGAAGTACTTGCTCCTGCTGAGCTATTTCCACTGAAGTTAACAGATTCAGTAATTTTCTTTCCTGCACCTCTAGCATATAGGGAAGTAGACTCCATGAACATTTGAGTGTTAGGCTTAATTTCTCTTTGTTTTTCATCCTGTATCAACAAGGAGAAGGTGTGTGCTAGAGAAGGTAATGGATTCAACATGAGAATGTTCCCTCGAATTACAGTATAAACCTCATTCAACCCCATAAGAAACTGTATCAATTTTCTATCCTGATCTACCTTGAACATATTATCCTTAGCTCCACAAGTAGAATTGCAATTACACTGAGTTTTCACATGCAATGTGTTCAACTCTTCCCACAGTCTTTTCATCTTGGTGTAGTAAGTAGTAATGTCTAAAGTTCCCTGTGATAACTCGTTAATTTCACGTTGAACTTGATATAGCTTTGCACCATTAGTTTGGTCATATCGATCCTCTAATTCTTTCCACAGTTCGAATGAATCAGAAACATACTCCACACTTTCTGCAATTTCCTTTGACAGAGAATTAAGGATCCAGGAAGTAACCATATCGTCGCATCTTCCCCATTGACGAAATCGTGGTGTTCCTGGATTAGGCCTTCTACAATCACCATTAATAAATCCTAGCTTATTCTTCACCGATAACACTCTAAGAACACTTCGATTCCATGATCTATATCCTACTCCATCAAAAGGAACTTGAACTAGTGAAGCACCTGGATTATCTGAGGGATGCATATACAGAGGTGAATTGAGTACCTCATTGATAGCACTACTGCCATTTACAGTAGTATCATTTGAAGTTGAACCAGTTTCAGTCGCCATAGTGATTCAATTCAAGGATCTAAGTGAATGAATACAGCGGAAGAAGAGAAAAAAAACAAAATCGATCTGAATTCGATCTAACAATCGATCAGATTCACAACACAAAGAACAAAACGAGTAATTCGATCAACATAACTGCAGAAAACAGAGCAAATACCTCCTGCTCTGATACCATGTCAAAAATACTCCATTATCATGCTTCAATTTTCCATGGATGAACTTGGACAGAAGTTAGAGAAGATGTATGTTTAGAGGGAAACAAAGAAGATGGAAGTTTGGGGGAAAAAGTGTATGTTTATTATGAGAATATCACACTTTTATACAATACAGAAAATATAGAAAATATCTAAAACTGTGTAACAAGAAATATAACAGAATTAAGGATAAACTAACTAGTTTTAACTAACTAACTGCATTAACTAACTAAATGATTGTGTCAACTATAATTATCAATAGATTTTTTTCCCCAAAAGCTAAAGATTTAATGCTACTGGGTAGTCGTGACATGGCTATTAATTCATTACTAAAGAATCATTATTTTTCTACTGAAATTTCTCATTAAAAATATATTCAGCATAACTCAAAAATATTTTAATTGCACAGATGAAAAATATTATAATTTTTTCAGTAATAATTCAATGAGAATATAAAATAATTTCGCTAGCATGATCGTTTCATCAAACTGTCATGCCTAACCTGTGAAGTAGTGGGGTTTAGGCAGACTCTTGCCCCGAGTTAAAAAGTTATATGATACGTATGTGATGTAATTTTTTTAGTATATGTATATATTAAGTTTATATTCTTTAACTAAACATAAAATTAGAGATTGACTAAATAATCTTGCAATTTCAATCATATATTGAAAAAAAGTCTTAGTTTTCCACCACAATCAAATAATGTTATGCTGATAAGCTTGTACGTTGCTCTTGAAAACACATGTCATCTATATGTGACAAGCAGTAACGGATCTAGAATTTTATAGTTATGGATCTGTTCAGAAAGTAGTGGTGCCAAAAATTAAAAAAAAAAGGCTTCGAACTCAAGGACAAACAACACCACAATAGCCTTAAGCACCCATTTCATGAGGCAATAGACCAATTAGATCATTTTTTAATTGAGTGCTTTTTATTGATTTCATTTAAATACATCTTAATTTTACATATATATATTTCAAGACGAGGTTGACAAGTGTTCGAGCACCCGAAAGACTTATGTGGGTCCGCCCCGTGATGAAGAGTCTGGACACAAAGACGTGCAACTTTAAATTGTTTGCAAAATTCAGAAATTATAATGACGATAGATAATTTGTAGATTAGTGCTGGAGAAAACAACATGAATACTAAATTATCTCATCTCCTTATGTATTTGATTGCTTAATAAATTTTAGAAAAAACACAAAATCAGCTACCTTTATTCACCTTAGCTTTTGTTATTCTTTTTTCTTCAACAAAAAGTTTTGGTAATTCCCACTTAAAACTATTTTGGAGAAGAAATCGTCATATATTTATTGATAATTCGAAAAATAATTTAACTCGTAATTATTAGATAAGGTACATCATCTTCAATCGACATCCACAATCATCATATAATTTTTTACATATGAATAATATTAATTTATAGTATTGAAATCTTAATACAATAGACATCCAAAATCATCATATAATTTTTTTACATATTCAAAAATATAAAGAGTCATAAATTTTTAGTCTTGACATCTTAATATAACATCTTACAGCATTATAAGAATTCAGATATATACTCAAATCGAGATATCTAACTAATTGTTTAGATCATCTTCATTGGTGATTCTCATGGTGTCCACATATGATTTCCCATCAAGTTCACGTGTGAAAAATCCTTTATAAAATTGAGTGACTCCAATTTTTTTGAATTTTGGTGGATTTTGAGGTGTAACAAGGCTACTTGATGGACCTAATATACCATCCAATCTTGGACTCTGAAATGTTGCTACTGAAATCCTTTCTTTTTCTGAGCTCACCACTGATCTATGTTCTATGCTTTTGTATATTCCATTTGAGAAAATCTGATCCAAAAAAAAAAAAAAAACATTTATAGTACATATATAATAAAAAAGAAGATAAGAGTGGGGCTACGAGTAAGGCTGTCAAATATGGCCTACAAAAACGATGGCTCGCCAAGAGTTTTAAGGATTGAGCAGAAGATAGTTTTATATTGGGCTAATTTTAGATCGATTTATTATAATTCATAGGAATGTATATGATCGGGTTGATTCAGACTTTTCCAATATCAAATTAAATTACTTCTGTTTGATTTTTGAATTTATAAACTAAACAAATAAAATTTGAGTTTTTCAATTTCGGGTTTTTTCGATGAAGTGTTCATACAACCATATACTTTACTTGTACTTCAAGTATTTCTTTAGTCCTATCAAAATGTAACTATCTAAGTTATTTCTTAAGAAAACAACACAAAATATGATATGATTAATGACACTAAAATATCTAACAAAAAAATAATAATAAAATCGCGTTAAACTATATTGCAAATTAATAAGTCATAGAAATTGATCAGAATTTAAAATTACTAAATCATGCTAAAATAAGTTTAATAAGTATTAGTTACATGATTAAATACTAAAAGAAAATAAAATTAGATGCATTTTAATTGTCTAAACCTATGTAAAACTAAAAAAATAAATAATTCAATATTATGTCATTCTTAGTGTTGAGTTGATTTTTTTTTTGCATTAGTATCAATTATTTAAACTTTATTATAATTACCAACATGTATGAACTATAATTTTTATTGGATCATTAAAAATTCTAACTTTCAAACATGAAATAAATACATTAAAAGATAAAAACTATGAAAAAGTATAAGAGATATTTAAAAATTATATCAAAGTAAGTATTTTTATGTATAATAAAATTTTAAAAATATATATAAAATGTCGGGTTGATTTGATCTCAGTTTGATTTTTTCAAGTTGAAACTAAACCAACTCAAATATAATCAGATTTTTTTTGTCCAACACCAAATCAAGTCAAACCAAATTACTAATCAATTTTTTTTCTGATTTGACTCCTTTTACGATTTGATTCAATTTTATACGCCCCTAATAACTCATTTTGAAAGTGATCTTCAATTTAACTCAATATTAGCCTAGTTATTGCTTATCTCTAAGATTTTGTTTGATTTTTTCTATAGGCCAGGATTCGAATCTTACAACTCTAGTCCCTAAGTCAAGGTCAGAGTTGAAACCAGGTCTCGGGAGTTAGGTTCTATGTCAAAGTCGGATTGAATTTCGGGTTTAATCAATGAACGCTAATTGATTTTTTTTTTCAAGCTAGTGTCACATAAGTCGGAAAGGGGTAGAAAATTACTTATAAAATAAGTTTAGAAAGTAATATGACCTTAGTATAGTATAATTATATCTTTTAGATTTCAAACATAGGATAAAAAAGTACTTCTACATTTTCCCTAAATAAATTGTACGATTGATATAGCTAATGCAGACTCCTAAATAAGTATGGACTACTGAAACACTAATACCAAGGAAATTTATGGGAATATTCAACTAGCTAGTCATGAGATGTTTTTTCTCTTCATTTTGTTACTTGTTATATCTCCCCTTTGACAAAAGATCGTAGTCAAATATCACCACATAAATTAAAACTACGGTAAAAATAATACCATACTACTCAATAAATATTGAGAGAAGAGGATGAAGGAAGTACCTCAAAAGCATCTCCAACATTGACTATGAAGGCATTAGGGAGTGGTTCAATGGGGATCCAAATTCCATCTTTTTTAATTTGAAGACCTTGAGTTTCATTAACTTGAAGAAGTATTGTAAGGCCTGTTGCATCTGAATGAGGAGTAAGTCCCATCACTTTCTCTGGTTGTGGACATGGTGGATAGTAATTCATCCTCATCGATTGCATTCCTTCTTTGAAAACACTCTTCACTTCATCTTCATCAATCCCCAAAGCTTTACCCAACGTTTCCAATACTCTCATGCTTAGCTTCTTTATTTCATCCGCGTACTCTTCAATCGTCTCTCTACATTTATACGCATTAATAAGCGATTCTCTTACTTATTTTCAAGCGTTAAAAAGGGCGCAAACAACGTTTGGTATGTACCTAAGTGAAAGGTAAAGCTTGGAAAACACAGGCTTTCGCAAATATGTGGGTGAAGTCTTCAAGTAAAAGAGATCAGCCCAGTCAAGCTTTTGTTCATCAGAGACGACGAATAGCTGTCCAAATCCATCTGTATCTCCTGAAGATTTTTCAAACTTTTTCTTCTCTTCTAATGGCAGATCGAAGAATTTTTGAGTCTCGTCTTTCATCTTCTCCACTACTGAACAACTAACTCCATGATTAATCAACTGCAGCATGTAGTTGAACTTGTTATTACTATCTATTGCGCATGGAGTTTAAACTATTGGGAGTGTAATACACTTTATGCATATATGTATTTTAACTTAGTTTTAAATCACATTTATATTCTTTAACTTTGGATATATAAAAGTAGACGCTCAAATTAGTATAAAATTGAACAAATAGACATGTAGGTCTAACATGACATCCTACATGTCATTTTTGTTCTACATGGTATCCTACGTGTATTGTTTCATGTAGGACTTATATATTTACTTGTTCAACTTTATACAAGTTTAAGTTATACATATCCAAACTTGGAGGGACATACATGTAAAATAAATCCAAGTTAAAGAGCACATTTATATAGTATGCCTACCTTCTGTTTTACCAGCAAAACTTCGCCACATAAATAAAATATGTCTTAATTTTTTTTTAAGTAAATCATTAATATTAATTGAAAGATAAACATTAAAGTATTACTATCCCAGAAGAATTTTTTTAAAAAAAAAGATAAAATCTAGAATTTTTTTCTTACCCCACCCTTTTATTCTTTTAATTTTTTTTAAAAAAATTCCAAACTTCACCCCCTTCCTCACTTCTTCCTAAAAAAGATTGATATTATTTTTATTTTTTTATTAAAAAAGAAATTCTACCATACACCGTCTACTCTCTTTTTTCTTTTTTAGATATATTTTTTTAGTTTTGTGCTAGATATGTACATATATTTTTAGAAAAATATTATATATAACACAATATGAGGAAATAATTGAAAGTATTGTGTTAGGTGGAGTGAGGTAGAATTTTTTTTTAAAAAAATAAAATAATATCTAAATTATTATTTGGAGAGTTAGGGGGAGAGGAAGTAAGATATTTTCAAAAAGACTTTTACAAATGGAATTTTATTTTTCTTTTAAAAAAACTAAAAAATTGTGGTGGGGAGGGGGTGGGGTGAGAGGAAGTGGTGGAGTCTGGAGTAAAAGTAAGAAAAATATTTTATACTTTATTTTATAAATTTTTTGGATATATAGTAATGCCTTTACTTTTAACTTTAACTAATACTATAATTTATTAAATTTTTTTGTTAAGGTGAAATATAATTTTGTCTATTATTTTAATTGATATTAATAATCTATTTAATTTTTGCCAAGATAGAATGTTTTGTCCATGATTTTTATGGCATAATACATGTATATGCCCTTTAACTTGGCATCATTTAACATGTATACGATCCAACTTTGGGCTGTGCAAAAATAGACACTTAAACTTGTATAAAGTTGAACAGATTGACACATTAATCTTACATGGTACAATACACACAAGACACCATGTAGAACGTAAATTACCATGTAAGATGCCACATAGGGTGTATGTGTCTATTTGTTCAATTTTATACGAGTTTAAGTGTCTACTTATGCACACTCAAAGTTAAAAGGACATAAATATAACATGAGGTAAAGTTAAAGGAGTAGGTGTAGACGTACATACACCATGATATAAGAGTGTAATAAAAGAGAAAAATGTGTTTCTCAAACTACTAAGTAATAACTTAAATGTGAGACTCATATTCTCAATAATTTAGGTATAGAACTAAGAAAAGATTGATTTAGGTGTTTTTGACACTGAAAAAAATTGTATCATAAAAGTCGAGACAAAGTAAAAATATGCAAATACAACCTATATATGGTCCGTTTTGGCTGAACCACGGACTACTTCAAGGCCAATGGGCTTTACCGTTTTGAACCAAACAATCTTAAAAACTGATATCATATTAAAGTATGTGATAATTTTATTTAGAAAGCTTAAACTAAAGAATACATATGCTCTTTTAATTGATATTTTGTATGAGAAAAGTCACTTGATATATCTTTGCTAGTATATTATTGATCTATATGTACCTGAAAGAAACCCCAATCTTTAGCTGCTAAGTGCAACTTGTTAAGCTCAAGATTCATGGAGTCATGATCATTAAAGTTGATCAATCGTTGCATATCAATTACTGGGACTTCTTTATAAATTGATGATGCAATTGAACGGTCTTGATCATCGCGTACGTATCGCGATGGAATCGACACGAGTTTCTTCTTGGCCAGTTCCTGTACAGAAGGAACTTCCATGTACTTGACTTCTATGTCTCTCATATTTGTTTAACTGCTTAATTCTATGGTGTTCCAATATTGAATAATTTGATATTATATATATTAACTCTACCATCCCTTTCATTTCACTTGTGTCCACAACTATTTTACGATGATATCTCAATTTTAATTAATTTATTGCGTGTGAGGTCAGTACAATTGGTGGGCAAAAGTAGGACCAAACAAAGACCAGAACATGCACCACCAGAATCATATTATGTATGGTTATACACTTGTTATAAACAGAAAAAAAGTCAACATTATCCTTGAATTATTCAAAATAGCTCATATATATCCGTTAATTATGTTTGGGATCAAAACTATCCTTGCCATCTATGTTTAGGACCATAAATATCCTTAAAACGTTATCTTTGTCATTAGTGTTGACATGGCAGTCCATCCATGTGGTCCAACGTGACAAAAATACCGTTCTCTCAATAATGTTCTTCCTAGCTAGTTCATTCCTATAACAGAAAGAAAATCAAATATAATTCTTTCATTGTTCTTGTTTGAGTTGTTATTCGGGCTCTGGAGCTCCAATGTCAAAGTGTACTGAAGTTTGTTTGAGGTTGTAATTGTTCGTTGACGGATCGAGTTCATTGTTTGGAATTTGGGGTCATAGATTCACAAAATTGATTTTTAGTTTTTCAAGCTTTTAATAACTATTTCATATATTTTTGGGGATTTCAACTCAAATCTTCAAAATATCAATCTTCAAAGAAAAAAATCAATTGTTAAACGACAATTTTTAGCTTCAATAACAATATTCAAGCAATTTTTAGTAACATTCAGCTAAATCTCTTCAAATTTTTGCACTTCAAAAACCCAATGAAGGAGAGAAATTTCTCATCAACAAGCTTTCAAATAAGTAACTATTTTTGAGTTTCAACACAAAAAGAATGACTTCAACAGTTTTTCAGCATCTTTCAACCTTGAGAATTAAAATTTCAGCCTCAGATTCGATGACATCAAAATCCAAACAATGGATTTGATCATTCAACACACAACTACTATCTCAAACGAACTTTAACACACTACGAAATTGAAATTTTAAAGTCCATGCAATAACGCATACAAGAACAATGAAAAAACTATTTGTGATATTATTTTTTAAAAAAAGAAATTGTGATAGAATGAAACAAGAAAGAACAACATAATTGAGAGGAAGGGATTTTTGCCATGTTGGACTCCCTAGATAGACTATCGTGTCAGCACATATGACAAAGATAACATTTTAAGGATATTATCGTCCAAAATATAGACATCAAGGGTAATCTAGATCCCAAACATAAATAAAGGATATATATGAGTTATTTCGAAGAGTTCCAGGATAATTTTGACAATTTTCAATATCATAAATAACGTGGGACAATAGAAATCGTGTCAATTTGTTTATTCTATTTTTAAAATTAATTTAGTATTTAAAAAAGAACATTTTTTCTTTTTTTTTTTATTTCAATTTTTCATATGATATATTTATAAATACAAATACAAAAATTCTTTTTACTTTCTTAAATTATATGTCAAATCAAAATCATATAAACAAATTAAAGTGAAGAGAAAAACAACTTATTATTAACGATCACCCCTACATATATGTGAAATATTTTTCTTTTAACTTCTTTTTTTTAGTATTATATATATAGTTTGGATTCTCTAATCAAACATAAAATTAGAGGTTGACTTAATAATTTAGAAACCGTTAGAAGGTGAGACTTTCAACGTGATGTTTATAAAATTGTCACGAGTTTCTCCCATTTATGTTTAGCTGCTTAATTCTATGGCGTTCTGATATTGAATAATTTGATATTTTATTAATGCATAATCCATAAAATATGTCCTTAACTTGATCACATTTCATATTATGTCCTTTAATTTTGAGCGTGCACAAATAGACACTTAAATTTGTATAAAATTGAACAAGTAGACACAAACATTCTAGATGACATTATGCACGGAAATTTGTGTCCTACATGATGTCCTACGTATATTGTGACATATAAGACTTGTGTATTGTGACATATAGGACTCATGTGTATATTTATTCAACTTTATACAAATTTAAGAGTCTATTTGTGCACATTCAAAATTAAAAAGCATAAATATAAAAATAAATTAAGTTAAAAAATATATTTATGCATTATACCTTACGTTAACTGTACCATCCCTTTCCTTTCACTTATGTCCACAACTTTTTTACGATGGTATCTCAATTTCATTAAATTATTGCGTGTGAGGTCAATAAAAATGTCACAATCTGTTGGCAAAATTAGGACTAACAAAGACATAATTTCTAATTCTTGGTATAGGTTTAAAGCAGTAATGTCAATCAACTTTAAAGCTTTAAAGTCTTTATGAGCGTGAACTAAGTGTTATTAAAATTAATATTGCTAAAAATTTTAAAAATTTATACTAAAAATGTTAATTATTGTTATAGATATATATTTAGCGACAATTAACGACTAATAATCTTTATGATATAGTGCACCAGAAAAATATTTATTTATATCCTCGTTACCTCATCAATATGTGGGCCATCGGAGATGTCTTAATTTTTTAATAGTTTTTAAAAAAAATGTGTTTTACTTTAAAATACACAAAAAATCAAAAATATATTTTTACTTTTTTAAAATTACGTATCAAGTCATAACAATACAAATAAATTAAAATAAAGTGATATCGCTATCATGAATGACACACGTATAAAGAAATTTTTGCGGTTCACACGTATATCCTTTGCTATGACTTACCCCTTGTCCTTAAAAAAAAAAAGAAAAAGATTTACACCACAATATATTTGCTTCACTACAAAATTATTAAAAAGTCAATTTTTCAATATTACAAAGAGCAAAACAGGACGTTGGAAATAAAAAAAACATAAAATAATTGTTTAAATTAAAAGACTTCAAAAATTATTTAAAAAGATCACCTCTTTCTTTCTATTAAAAAATAATTCCCTTCATTTCTCTCTCCCCCCTTTAAGTTACCAACTTCCATTACCATATAATTCAACCTTTTTATGGTTTTGTTGTGAATTGTTAGATTTCTATAGTTAAAGTCTTCCTGAGTTCTCAAACCAAGGAAGAAGCAGAATGTAGGAAGAAGAAGAAGGAAACTAAAATTGTTATTCTCTCATCTGTAATTCAATGCAAGATACATGATATGAGAAATATATATACACGTTTTATATCACACTTTCTAGAAGATTCTCTAACAATGTATGTAACTGCATAACTAACTTTTAACTACTTTCTAACAAACTTAGTTAAGCCTAACTCAACTACAATTACATCAGCTTGCTCCTTTAGTTCAACACTCCCCCTCAAGCTGATGGCTTGAATATATCTTTTAGGCCTATCTTCCTTAGCAAGTATTCATGTTGAGCTCTTCCTAGTCCTTTAGTAAGTATATCTACCAATTGTTCTTCAGTAGACACATGATCAGTTTCAATCATCCCTTTGCTAACCTTTTCTCTTACAAAGTGACAATCAATGTCAATATGTTTGGTTCTCTCATGAAATATGGGATTTGCAGCTATTTGAATAGCTGCCTTACTATCACATCTTAAGGTTATAGGTTGTTGAATTTGAGCTCCAAGTTCACTGAACAATCCTACCAACCACGTAAGTTCTGCAGTGCAAGCTGCCATACTTCTGAATTCTGCCTCAGCAGAACTTCTAGACACAGTTTCTTGCTTCTTAGATTTCCAGGAAATAACTGCTCCACCAAACTTAACTAAATACCCTGTGACAGACCTTCTTGTTTCCACGCATGCTCCCCAGTCTGAATCACAATAGGCCATAAGTTGATTTGTAGTACCAGCAGGCATCATCAGTCCCATTCCTGGAGTCCCCTTGATGTATCTCACTACTCTTAGAGCAGCTTCCATGTGAGATCTTTTTGGACAATGCATATATTGGCTTAAGAACTGTACAACAAATGCAATATCAGGTCTTGTCATGGTCAAATATAGAAGTTTTCCCACTAGTTTTTGGTATGATGCATGATTTTCCAATACTTCATCACCAATTTCAGCTTTGCTTGATACATGTTTATCATATTCTGCAGAAGTTAGCTTTTGATTTATCTCAAATGGTGTACTTGCTGGTTTTGCTCCACTCATTCCAGTTTCAGCAACCAATTCTAATGCATATTTTCTCTGACACATTACAATACCTTCATTTGATCTGGCTACTTCAATTCCCAGGAAGAATTTAAGTTCTCCAAGATCTTTCATCTTGAAGCTATGCTGTAAATCCTTCCTTGCTTTGTTTATCAATGTCTGACTATTTCCAGTTACTATCAAATCATCCACATATACTAGAATTATTACTAACTCTTTTCCTGTCCTTTTGATGAACAAAGAATAATCATAATGACTTTGTCTAAATCCCATTTGAATAAGAGCACCAGTCAGTTTTTTGTTCCACTGCCTTGGAGCTTGTTTCAACCCATATAAAGATTTATGAAGTTTGCAGACCTTGTGAGACTCCCCCTGTCTTGCAAACCCCTCAGGAATAGTCATATATACTTCCTCTAGTAAGTCACCATTTAGAAAAGCATTATGTACATCCATTTGATAGATATACCACATATTAGAGGCTGCAAGAGCAATCAGAGATCTGACAGTCACCATTTTTGCAACTGGTGAAAAAGTCTCAAAGTAATCCATCCCAGCTTGTTGGCTATAGCCTTTGGCCACTAGCCTGGCTTTATGTCTTTCCACCTCTCCAGAAGCTTTGTACTTAACTTTATATATCCATCTACAACCAATAGGTATTTTACCACTTGGAAGATCAACAATAGACCATGTCTGATTTGATTCTAAGGCTGCAATTTCTAATTTCATAGCATGAACCCAGTCTGGATCCTTTGAAGCTTGTTGAAAAGAACCAGGTTCTGTAATAGAAGAGTACACTAACAAAGCATAATGATAGGACTTGGATATATTAGAGTATGTGACAAAGGATGAAATAGGATAAGCACATTGATTGACAGAAGAAGGAACAACAAAGTCAGTCATCCATGTAGGAGGATGT